GTGCCAGAACTATACATTGCACTCTGCACTATCTGAGATTGTCTCTCTAGTTGGTTTCCCTAGTGGAAGCTCTATGTTTCTGCAGCATTCATTTATGCCTTGCTCTTGCCAGTTTTGTGTTTCTTATCCTATGGCTTGCTTTTATGCTTAGTGTTTCAGTGTATCTATCTAAACTGGATATTTTAGGTCACACAGAACTCAGCGAGAATTCATTTTCAATACTTAGTAAACAAATGGTCAGGCAAGGTTAATAGGTGTGGCTTACATGAATAATTCAGGTCACTGCCATATGTTCTGAGTTTATCACAAAATTAACATTATTTTTTGAAATGCTAAGTAGCACTTTTATTCCCTTTAAACTGTATTTGATATTTTTCCTTTGTTTAAACGTGATAAATTATTAATTGGTTTGAGAAAGGAAGCTGAAAATTAAACCTCTTCCTGATATTTTCTCTTTTTAATGCTGTGCAAAATCTGTAGGTTTTGTTCTCCCTAAAGTTGTAATTTACAGACTACTGACAATCTGCAGTTTGTCTACACTTTTAAAAGTGACTAAATTTGATTCTTTTATTTTAACCCTTTCAATTTGGCCAAGTTGTGAAAAGTAATTCTCCTCTCTGAGAATTCAGTAATATGTCAAGATGCTATATTCCTGATTGATGGCTGTGATGGTCACCTGACTGGCATCGCATTGATGGTGTGAGGAGAAGTTAGGTGTTGGCCACACTTGAAAATTAAGTCATTGACATGAATTTTATTTAACCAGGAAATGAAACAAGAACTAGTTGACTTCAAAGATGTCATAAGTTCTTTACAACTCCTGAGTAAAAAGGTGGTACCGTTGCCGCAGAGGAAATCCAAACTAAAGAGCAAACTTCTTGTTGACCCAGTGTGCAGTTACAAGAACATGCAGGTGAGTCTGATATACACTCGTTGTTCCGGTGTCTGTGCAAAATTTTTGCCTAGATCTCGCTGAGATCTCGATTATCTCGCTGAGATCTCAATTATCTCGCTGAGATTGGCGAAATCTTGCCAAGACTGCCGAGACTTTGCAGAGATCTTGCCATGATGTTTGTATATTTATATATTGGCAAGATCCTGGCGAGATTTCCTATTTCTTGTCGAGAATGGCAAGATATAATCACCAAGATGGCTGGGATATTCCTATGATTTTTGAGTCTCTCTAAATCTCAGCACAATCTTGTCAAGATCTCACCAAGATACCAAAATCTCAGAAGCCAAGAACTCACCGAGATTCTCAGTGAGATCTTGGCCAAAATTTTGCATGGGTGGGAAGATAGGTTAGGAAAAATACTTTGCTTGTGGTCAAGGTATATGCCTGATTGTAGTACAGTTGGTGCATTATGTGTGAAAGACCTGCACGCACATTGAAATTCATTTTTCCGGTTTTTTATGTTAAATATGTTTTTAATTAATTTTTTTTTTCAGAATATTGTCAACAAAGGTGAAGAGTGTATTCTGCTGGATAACTCTGAACATCACTCTTGGAAAGTATGTCTTGCATGTAATCATGAAGTGATTCGTTTCTTTCTTTCTTAAGTTTATATTATTACAGACCTCAGTAGAAAATAAAATAAACAGAATAAATGAACAAACAAACAAACCAAAAAACCCTGATCGAAATCACTAATCAAACCCGTGTTTCCCTGAAACCTGAATCTCTTACCAGATCACAAATGCCAGTGGTAGACAGTGTGAAGTGCCGTCAGTATGTTTTGTTATTCCTGCTCCTGACGTAGAGGCTACTGAATTTTCAACAAGGTAAAATGATATAACTTATGTTACTTACTGTAAATCTGTGTTGGACCTGAATGATTCAACTTCCTGTATTAGGTTCTACAGGGTCTTTGTAAGATCTTCTTGTGTTCACTTAGTTGTAACTGACAGTAACAAATCAAATGTGTAGATGTTGAGAGAAATTTTGATGAGATGACTTACTTTGGCTGAAAAACTTGAAACATTTTAATGCGGTTAACTGCAATTTGAGCTAAGTTAAACGTGAAACAATGCTGGTCAGTGGCTTCCCCTGTTGTGGACATGCGCAGTAGTTGAGGTTTGCAGGTGGTCATGTGGTTTTACAGCTCGGTTTTTGAGGTCAGCTCATTCTCACGTGCATTCTTGCCTTTTCGACTGTGCTTGGCGACTTTGCTCCCTGCCTTTCCTCCCTTTCTGGTAAGTATGAGGTAGGTATCATGGTTCCACTCTTTTTTGCAGTGTGACGGTGCCTGGTGGTTGCTTTACAGGGTTGTCATGGTTACCCTACGTGCCCAGCTCTTGTGCGTGAGGCTCCACTATCTTTCCAGGCACCTTGCCCAAGCTCGTCTATTGTTGATGAGTTTAATTGCAAATTAGGATGAATCAATGTTAACTAATCTGTTATGTGCTTTTTTTTTAATGCCTGTATTTCTTTTCTAATTCATGAATTGTTAAGAGGCTCTCACTAAGAATGGTCCACTCGATCTCTGACTCCAAAATTGATTTTCTTCATATATCTACCATAAGCACTACTATCTATCCTTACTTACTAATGCAGTTGAAATGATGCAAAAGTTGTTTCTCTCCAGTTTGGAAGAGTTATCAATCACTAGACAAGTGTCACTAAGCAATGAAATGGCCATGATGGTTTTCAGTGCTCATTAGAAAACACTTTGTAAATAAAACCCCCAAAATGTGTACACATCTATTAATTTGTTAACACTCCCAACTCCTTATTTATCATTTAGTTATTTTCTAGTTCAAAATCAGAGGAGAACTGGAGTGGACCGCTCTAAGTGAGAGAATGTCTGTTATAAGTTTGGTTTACCATGCTGTACCAGTAATGTTTCCTTGTGTTTGGTCCAATAGGTTGGAAATTCAGTATAAACATTTATTAACACTGTGGAGAACAAGACACTGGAACCTGAAGCAAGCTCTCAGCAAGGAACAGGTCTTTACAAATGTGAAAGTGATCAAATCCACCTCTCCTGAGAAGGTATGTCAACACTTTTCACATGTTTGTCAGAGTCAGAATGAGTGAATAAAGAATAAGGGGTGGGGTGGGACCTTTTCCCAGAAAGAAAAATGGTTCAGGCCATGCTTTTTATTCGGTGGACTTGGTGACCAAATTTTCAGGGAAACAGATTTCAGATATTCTTTGGGCTGATATTCTTGAGGCTGAAGCAGGGTGACTTGTGTTGGACTAGCATCCTATGCAGGGGATAGCAATGCTCTTAAACTGTTCATGCTATGGAAAACATGAGTTAAGATCTAGCAATCACAATAGTGGTATATTTTCCCCCCAATCCTCCAGATGGGAACAGACTTACATACAGTGCCAACAAAATTAAGGTATCATTGACATCATAGAGAATATTTATGCAATGTAAAACCAGTTATAACTGATCTTTTCATTTTTTTCTTCAGGGTAAGCTGTCACTTTTGGCAGGCTCAAAAGATGTTGACCAGCTTTTGAAAGATATCCAAATGCCTGATGATCAAGAAATAGTTGGTATCACAGAAAGACTAGTTGAACAAGACCCAGTGACGGCAGCTACAGTCTCACTAAGTGAACAACCTGTAGAAACCATAACAAATGGAATGCAAAGTGTGCAAACCCTTGATAAGGTGCAGTGGGTTTATTTAATAAATGTGGAACGCAAGTCATTAGTCTTAGATCTACAATCTTGGCCAAATTTCCTTGGGACATTTGACAAAATACCAACTGGTGATGCATTATTTGAAGGTGGAAAGTCATTATTCAATTTTCTGAGCCCCCGTCCCCGCCAAGCAATGTTGGAATAGTGGGTCTACTTTGGATGAACCAACATCCACATTGTGTTGGAGGTGGGGAGGGGGAGAGGGTGGACAGAAAGACCATAATTATGTTGGCAAAAGTGCAAAGTGTCCCAAGACTTTCAACCAGGATTGTAGATGGACATATCTTCTTTCTGTTGGGATTGATTTCAGTAGCAATCTAGAATTAACCTGTGAGGATAGTGTACATGTACATGTACAATCAATAGACCACTTTACAGGTCTGTGTAATGTAACCAAGCCTATGCATAAAAGCGAGGCCTGGGTGGACCTTGCAGTTGTTAGAAACTACATGTAGTTTACAGTGGAGAAGCAGCAAGGTTTGTATCATGAGGCTTAAGGGCCTGATCACTTGGTGCAGAACAGTAAAATGGGTTATTTTATTTTGTTATGCCATGTATGCAGCTTACAAATATTTTTTATATATTCCACTCATAATCTGAGCACCAGGGAGGCGCGGTGGCCTCATGGTTAGTGCACTCGTCTCTGGATCTAGCGGTCCGGGTTCGAGCCCTGGCTGGGGTCATTGTGTTGTGTTCTTGGGCAAGACACTTTACTCTCTCAGTGCCTCTCTCCACCCAGGTGTATAAATGGGTACCTGTGAACTTAATGCTGTGGGTAACCCTGCGATGGACTAGCATCCCATCCAGGGGGGAGTAGAAATACTCCTAGTCGCCTCATGCTACAGAAACCGGGTTAAGCTCCGCACTGATGGGCCACTTGGCTCGTATGTAGACTTTCTTTTTACTCATAATCTGCTTATAATGCTTGTTTTCTACTTTTGAATGTTAATTTGAACTTTTGGCACTTTTCCTCTTTGTAGCAAAGTGCTCAGAGCACTCTAAATGATCTACTGGCCTGGCTTAACAGAGCAGAAGCCTTCTTGAAAACCAAGTCACGAGAGACTCTAAACCAAGGAAGCCTGTCCAGTACTCTACAGCAAGTTGAGGTAAAAAGCTTAGCGGCAAGACTCCTTCAGTAGTGGACAAACATCCTTGAGATAGTGATGTAATACAGTGTTATTTCCCCCCACCCCCACCAATACATTGTTGAAACTTTGGAGAAATTAAGGTACTAGTTTTCAACCCTGTCTGTGGGGTGGGGGCAGGAGCAGGGTGAAGTGAAGGGAAGTTGTATTCTCATAAGACATTTCAATTGTTTTGTGAGTGTGAAGAAAGCTCAAATTGCAGATTTGTCCTTCAAAGACTTTTGTCCATGATGGAGTCAACACATGCATGTAACTTTTTTAGGAGGAGAGGCCTTCAATTAACATACCAAATATGTTTAAACATTTTAGTTTTCTTTACTGACTAATGTTGCTGTCTGTTCTTTGTGTTTGTATAATTATCAGAATTTAAAAGAGCAACAGACTCAAAGAACTCCACAGTATGACTTTCTGATGCAAGCTCTAATCACCAAAATGGACCCGCAACTGCAAAGCAAGTTAGGTCTACTGTCTGAGAAGTGGATCAGAGTGAAGGAAGAAACGTACACGTGGCATAGAATGTGAGTTGGCAGAGACATCCTGATGTTTACTGTTTACTAATCAAAAGGCAACTGTAGATTTTGGCAGGTCAAGTCAATTTTATTTCAGACAAAAGTGCCATTGTCAATAATTTGTGTACTATACACGATGATTTGTTGAGGAACAAATATTCCATGACTGTTTTGCTGTCAAACCTAGTCAAAGATAGATCAGTTCTGTATAAAATGTTCAAATGTCTTACATCTGAATATGTAAGTTCTTTTTTGTACTTTTTTTTTGGAATATGTAAGCCCTGATTCACTAAGTGAAAGCAGGCCATACTTTGTTTGCATTTTACAGATTTTCCGAAATTATTTTGTTTCCCATGCTAGCATACACTGATTTTACATTTGATGTATATTATTGTTTATCAGGCTTGTGTTCTTGCTGAACATTGCTGAACTTGTGTCAGATCTTGAAGATAGCCTGCGACGCGTTGAAATCATTCTCATACAACAGCCTGGTCTCACTGCCAACCTGAAAGACATTCAACATCAGATCAAAGTTTTACAGGTACCAACAGATAACAGCTGTTGTTTCCTTTGGTCTAAGTTGACCTCCATAGTGAAACATAACTTCCACGTGATTTATAAGCTTTCAAATGTTTCTGAAACATGATTCCACAAGTTTATCGCAAGATAAACAACTTAGATGCGAATTATGTCAAATGGAATAACTAAATTTTCACATGGCTACTGAAACTGTTGTAGATAGCAGCACTTGCCGTTAAAATCAATCAATTATCTCCTTTAATTGGTTTGCCAAGTTTTGCCCTCTAACGTATTGAAAACAGCATGACATAGCCGGGTGGCATATTTTTGCTTTAATCTACTGTAACTATGGGAACGTTGTTGAATGAATAACGATAGCAAATCGTATGTTTAATAGGGAGCACTTCAAACTGAAATAGAGCCAAGAAAGAGCAAGATTGAAGACATTCAGAGGTCGCTTCCTGACTTAAAGGACTTCGACAAGACCAGAGTACAGGCCATTCTGGAGAGATGGGAAGCTGCCCAGCATCAGATTGATAACCGTCTTGTGGGACTCGTCAAAGCTGAACACAAACTAGAGCAGTTTCAAGCTGGATTACAAAATGAATTGGACTGGTTAGAAAGAGTTGAGGAGAAAGTCCAAGACCGAGACTCGAGCAGAGAAAGTAGTAATGCTGAAAGTGTTATGGAAGAACTTACAGTGAGTTGGAATTATTTTCGTTCGGTCAAAGTGTTGAGAAAATAAATTTTATTAAGTACTTGTAGCTTTCAAATAAGAGGGACAAAATCAAACCTTTAAACAGAGCAATAACCAATGGGCAAAAGGTTTCCTTAGCTCACTGGACAGTGGCAACTATAGACCCTTACCAGACCCTAGTGGGGAATTCATTGGACTAGGTTTCCAATGGAAAAGCCCTTGCTGGGTTGGTTATGTCGGAGACCTTGTAACTAACTTTCAGGATCAGTGAGAGATGCAAGCTTTCATTACTTCTCCTCAAGAACGCATTTAGTAATTACGTAGGTAATGACTGTGATCAAACTGCACTCCACGGGACAGTTCAGTACAGAAGGGTAAATCCTCCTTGGTGGTTTAAAAGTCCTAATGATTCCAAAGTTGTTCATAACCATATTATTTATTTTTGTCATTTCAGGCTCTGTACACAGATATTCGAAGCCAGCAAGTCCCAATCAAAACTCTTTGCACCATGGGACATGAATACACGGACGAATCACAGGTGAGACAGCATTAATGAAAGCACGTTGATGTTGATGAGACTCCCCTGCAGATAAGCGCCTGATAAACATGCATACACACATACTTTATTTATTTCAGATGCAAACTACACATACAATTAAAAACTAAAAATGAGGAAAAACACAAAAAACAAGAAAAAGAAAGAAAGATGCATCTAGAAAAAGGAAGTTAAGAGGTTATCCCTATGAGAAAAAAAAAATCAAAATTAAAATTAAAATTAAGATTCTTAATTACATTAAAACATTTCAGTGCAATTTGAGGTTAGTTTAAACTGCTGAAGGTTATCAGCTTCTACTACTTCTTTTGGTAATTCATTCCATAATTTAACAATCCTAACGAAAAATGAATGTTTATGACAATTTAATCTTGCGGGTTTGACGTCAGGCTTGTACGGGTGATTTGTTCTTGCAGACCAAGTTGTGGCGAAATCAATAAAGAACTTGACATCTTATAAGACATGCACTAAAGAAAAGCATTCTCATTCTCAAACTAATTAACAGTTCAAGATAAAACAGAGAAAATCACAACCTTGAAGGAGGTTTGGATACCCGGTCTTAATTAGCATAGACTTTGACGATTTTACTTCTCCGTTTTCTCCTTAGTTTTTGTTTCGATTGAGAAGATACATGTATATCAAACACTGGAGACAGTATTTCATCGGCTATCCAAACACCTGGAATTTCGTCAAAAATACTCCGCTGCGCATCGTATTTTCAACTCTCGCCTCGGTGTTTGGATATCCCGTTGAAACATTGTCTCTTGTGTTTGATATAATTACTACTTGAAGCCTCGGATTTTATGATATATTTATTGACGCCTCGTAGTTTGTAGCTTCGTAAGCTGCTTCACACATTCCTCATGAAACTACAAAAATCCTTTACCATCTGCGGGTATATTACGAACTCACAACGTGACCAGCTCCCAGTTGGCTTGATAGCTCAGTTGGTGGAGCACTGCACCGGTTTCGCAGAGGTCATGGGTTCCCATTCCGTTCAAGCCTGGATTTTATTTTTTCAGCTGCTTAAGTTGTGTGTTTAACTGCGATGTTCAATCATGTCGTCATAAAAGCCCTTTACATGTGCGTGTTTTAAGTTGTGTCTTGTACATGTTGCTAGGTGTGGGAAAGGAACCTGGAGGAGTACCGTCACAGCTTGCATCACTTGCCCGAGTCCCGAGACCCTGCCAACCCCCTCCTGGAAAGTGCCCAGAAGGGCCGCGAGGAAATCATAGCATCTCTGATGAGTATGAACGCCAGATACGAGAAACTTTTGAATGAGGTTCAGATCGTCATGGAAATGCTTGTGGACACTTTGAAGAGACAGGGAAAAGAACACAAAGAGGTTAGTTTGTTCCTATTTTACAACCCTGATAATAGAAAGACAGTACGAAATTTGTGAAATGGTTCACGAGCCGTCACAAAACGTTAGCTTACCGTTATAAATTTCCTTGTCAGTTGTGTGACTTTCATGTTTTCCTTATGTGACGTTCACTTCTCCCCTATGAACATTTGCCTCATTTTAGCGTGCGTGACATTTCATTCTTCCGGGCGTGACGTTCACCCAACTGCCTTGTGACAGTCACCGTTTCGTTGCGTGACATTCACACCTCCTTCATGTGATGTTTACCTTTTCATTGTACAGGTTGAAGAAGCGTGTTTACAGTGGTGTTCCTCTATCCAGCACTTACTTGACTGGTTGTCAGACACTGAGAAAACCCTGGTAGCACAAACAGCATCTCCCGCAGATGTCAAGCAGCTTGAAGAACAGATTGAGGAACAGAAGGTAAGAATGGGATAGGAGGGAATTCAAGACTGACCTCTCTTACTCGACTTTCATTGGTGAACAGAGATGCTTATTGTTTATTTCAAGGCGTGAGACAGTTGCCTCCGGCTGCGATCAATTTGCAAATTCTCTTGTCATAAAATATGAAAGGAGATAAGTTATAAGCATCAAGGTGTATTAAGGTTAGGCTATAAGTATCATCTGATCATATTGGAGTGACAGCCATGACCGAAACTAAATTTCTCTCAAGATAGATGAAACACACTGCAAGAAAAGAAGTTAGGAGTATTTTTTGATTAATCGCGTACAGCGGAGTATATTCGAAAGAATAAGAAATTAAGACAAATTTCGCAAATCCTAATATTCTTGTTTTGAAGGAATTGATAAGCGAACACCACTATAAGGTATGCTTGACTAGTTGTGATGAAAATACTCACACACGAGGGTCAAACCACAGACGGAGAGGTTCATACAGTATTGTAAATAACACGAGATGAAATCTCGGCTCAATGGCTTTCATTTGAATGGTCACACACTAGGTTCAAACGTCTTACCCACAGACTGAGAAGATAATGCAGTATTGTAAATAGCACCAGATGGAAATTTCAGCTTAGTAGCTTTCATTTAAATGGTCACACACTAGGTTCACATCACAGACTGAAAAAAATAATACACTACACTGGTTGAAATCTCATCTCAAGAGCTTCTATTTCAATGGTCACACACTTGGGTTTTATCCACCAGGAACAATTAACGATAAAACCACTTTGTACTTTATAATAAACAGCACCACGTGAAAGTATTTCTCGAAATTCTTCACCTGTATTGTACACTCTAGGGTTTCAGGCACAGACTCAACAAACGCTGTTAGAACCGACTTGCATATACAGCATAATAAACAGCACCACGTGAAAGTTCAGTTCCTTAGCTTTTAATTGAATGATAACATATTGTGGTTTCATCCGTCAGGGCGGGAAATTGCTAAATTTAATTATCACGGATATTAAAAAACAAGATGGCTGTTTGTTTAGTTGATTCAACTTTCAACAAGTTTTTAAGTTTTTTTTTCAACTGGTGGTAGTGTATGCGTAACTTTCTCTCTCAATTCAATCGGCTTTGGTCGACGTCTTAGTTTTGCAAACTTTTTGTATTTTTATCCGTTGCGTTCGGTTCCCTTGAGACTAGTATGCTGAAAAAGCCAAGAGTTTTGGTTTAATCTACATTTAATCAGCGTTCATTTTTTCCTGGTGATTTTAATAATCACGTAAAACAAACAAATAGCGTGTGTGAACTCAAGTTAGCACTACGGAGCCCAGAAAGAGAGCTGTAGATCAAATGCAAATAAGCGTTCGACATGAAGCGTTGATCGCCTTTGTCGCCTGCGACAATAAGGTCAAGTTAAGACTCTTTTATTATCGGAGCTGATGGAGTTTAAGATTCCGTTGGAGACAGGGACGCCTTGGCTGTTAGTTTTTGCGATGCTTTGTAACATGGAGCCCAGGTTCGTTAACACAAGTGTCGCTTTAGAGCGTACTATTAATGGGTCTGGCGTTGCTCCGCAACGTTTTTTAATTTGCACTGTACAGTATATGCAAAGGGTCGACTCACGGTACAGTTATGTTCGCTTTCACAGTTTGGTTTGTTTTTAGCGCCACACTGTTTTAACGACCATTTAGAAAATTCAGAGCACTGAAGCTACAGTGAAATGAAGATCATTTTCATTCACTCCATCACAAGTGTCGCTTTTGTTTCTTTTACGATTGCAACTTGACTCGTCATGAGCGAACAAATTGGCTTAATTAAGTAAGAATGCGTTTAGCAAACGTTTGTTTACATTATGGATTCGACAAGAGCCGTTTGAAATTTCTTGAGTGTTGCTTGCATTTCTCTCAAGTGATAACAGGTCGTTGTTGAAATTATGAATGACTTTGCCTGATTCGATCAGTCCCTGAAATTATTTCAGCAAAGTAACCGATTTTTATCCCTTAATAGCAGCATTTACACGCTAACTGCCTCTTCCCCGATACATCAACACAAGTTTATTATATCGTAATGCATGTTATTGAAAACGTAAAGAAGCTAATGACATATTGCCGTATTGATTTGGTTTTTGATTTATTGAAAGGGTTTCTATAGAATACTTATTAGCCCAGTGTAGTCATGTGTATTCTTGAAATCTGTGCTAACGTCTTCATCTCTTGTCTTTATTGCTTATGCATACTGATTAGTTACCCCATGAATTGCTTGTAAGCAATATAAAGTAAATCTCAAGGGTTAATATTGTTACTCTATTATGGTTATCTTCTTCATGAGCTGCTAAATCGTCAGTCACCTTTAGGAGATCGTGTTTCAGTTTGAGAACTTTCGGGCGGCGTGGTCGGAAATAAAGCCTTTGACGACTGTAAACCGATACCCTTCCAGTTTGACTAATTGTTTTTGTTGTTTTGTTTTAACTAGAGATTCACTAAGGCTGTCTATGAGCGGAAGAAACCAGTTGAAGTTATGCTCTTACAGAGCAAGCAGTTCTTGAAAGGCAGCGGTCAGCTTTTGTCGCCCACGAAAAAAGCCGAACTCGACTCGAAGATGAGCATCTTGGAAGCGAGATGGGGACGACTACAAGCCGAGCTTGACAATCGCTACATGAGACTCGTTAGGATTCACGAGAAGTTGACGAAGTTTGAGGAACTGCTGCATCCATTCCTGGTATGTATAATTAACGAAATGTTTCGAGAAAAGGAGAAACGTTCTTTCCCAAAAAGTTTCGGCTAGCACAATCAATCAATTATAGATCGATTGATCGTCTGTGGAACGGAGACCGGACGCGGAAGATTAGCGGCAATCGAAGCTAAGTTCCCTATTTATCCGTTCGCTTCGAAAAAAAGAAGTAACTGAACTGAGTCATTTTCACAACAAGCTTTGCATTTCGAACGGTTAAACTGAAGTAGAACGAAAAAAAAAATGGCCATGCCCACAGTCTTACGAATACAAGGGTAAAAGCGTAGAAATTGCCATTTTCGGTACTAAAATAGGGCGAGGAGTTTTGTCCACTTGAAACCAAGAAATCTGTCCTTAAACTTTCACCACAATATCAATTTATCAGACGTTCTTGGTTATTTTTGTAGTACATTTTTGTATATTTTTGTCTTTTGGAAAAAGTTGGAAATTTATTGTTGTGAAGAACAAACTGAACTTTCAGTGAGGTCACGGCTCCACACATTGTTTTTTTGTTAGTTATGTTTCGAGGGACGACAGTAAAGAAGTGTCTCGAAATGCTTTGACTATTAATACACAATTCTGTCTTTTGACTTGTCGTTAAACGGCCGGCTGATCTGGCTCAACGACTGTCAGAAGTTATAATTCAATTATGTCTCCGCCGAAACAACAGACGAAAATCGGCCTGTGTTTTTCGAGATCGTTTTACACCGTGTGTCTTACACTCTTGTTTTATTAAAGAATATTGTTTTTCCGGCGCGGGCTTTTTTGGCTGGTTTGCCGTTTGGAGAAAGGAAGAATTTTATTCGGTTTAGTGAAACACATACAATTCTATTGTACTTACTAACTTTCAACGCACAAAATTATGTTCTTTTCAAAAACTCAGCCTCAGGTTTCTACTTAAAATATTCTTAAAATTTCTCAAATTTCAGCCTCGGCAATGTTATAAAATATATTCGAACAAAAAAGGGGTGAAGTTCCCTTTCAAGTACACTGACTCTCCATAAGTCAATTCATTATCTATTCTGTGTTTGTAGAAATACACTTGCGCCTTTCAGAAGCGAACTCTTGGGATCAATCTATTTTTAGAAGGAATAGTAGGATAGTATAGGATGGGAAAATAGCGAACTGTTAAACCCTAAATTAATCGACACAGTAAATGTGCGATAGATGAACGCTAAAGAGGCAGTGATAAACCACAATGAAACAAGTGTAGTTAACATTGGATTGAAAATTTAGATTAATTGGGAATACCGCGAGTACCAACTATGATCTGTCTCAGTTTTCCCAAGTTTTAAAAATCCTTATTTCGATTAGATTTATTACTGTCCGTTTAATGGTCTTTGTGAGGTTTTTACCATTTTTTTTATTTTGAAAAAAGTTTGCATACCGCAATATTCTCATAGCTCCGTTAACCGGCAAGGGCGGTCTGGGTTCGAGCACTAGCCAGGGTCACTGTGTTCTGTTCATGGTCACGATACTGGAAGTCTTTTGATGCTGCAGATATCGGGCGTTTGTTTAGTTGGAGCATAGCGCGATAAACGCCGAGGTAAAAAGTCAGGATTGAGGAGTGCGGTGCTTGATATCCCCCCCCCCTTCCCAAAAAAAAGAATTGTTTTCAACAGCCGTTTTTCGCGGTGCTCCCCAAGTAACAAACGTTTGGAAGAGGCTAACGCCGATGACGCGCGTGGCTAATATGTGTTCGATCACACGCATCGTAATGGACTTTGCCTTTACTAACGATGGTCCATTCCTAATGAGAGTACTTGGTTTGATTTTTAGGCTTGGCTTAAGAAAGCAGAAGATCAAGGAACCGCCATTCTACTTGACGCCAAAGATCTGCAGAGAGCGCAGGACAAACTGCTCATTCACAAGGTTAGTGTACTCTGATTGCGGAAAAATTTGAATTGAGCCGGAATTATTTTAACTGGAAGAATAACCAGCACAGTGTGTGGCATGTGGGATAAAGCAGTGTGAGAGAATTGTTCAGTTTAGTGCTCAGTAATCCTACAGAGGTCAGACAAACTTTGTTTGGAAAAGTCTGATCTTCGGAAAAGAATGGCACTTTCTGTTGGTCGGAACCGTCAGATTTGTATGCGGATTGGGAGATTAAGTCAAGACGCTTTGAAAGTATGCCAAAAATGCTAACTTAAGTTGACCGCCACTTTTTATGACACATTACTACTTATTATACGATATTCGTACCTTATATCTATATCTACCTCGGAAAGAAACTCTGTAGTCTTCAAGTTTGTATTCTTCGTAATTCGAAAGTGACTAGCACAATTTGAAGTGATTTTTTCTGAATCACGTTCTACTATTCTGTTGCCTGATCACCTTTTGTTGCATTTGACATTTTTATAAAGTAAATATTTACCGAAGTAAGCGTTATTAAGACGAGTCGCACGAGAAGGGATTTGAATTCGTACAATCCTTTTATCCGAGCTCTTTAAAATCCTCAGTTTCTTTGATGGTTTCCATTCGTCTGCCCTCGGCGAAAACAAATTTTACTCTCGCAAAACAAGTAAGGTTGTAATTGTTTTCTCTGTCTTTCGTTGTAGCACTTTGTTGACGACGTAAAAGACCACGAACGAGACTTGAAGGAAGTGAACCAGAGTGGAGAAGACTTTCTACACGAAGCCAAGGTGACTGTTTTTTTTTAAATTTACTTTTAAAATACCGCTTCCAAGTCCAATCTTTGATTGTAGACCCATGCATATCATAGCAGCTGATCAGCTCTGCGTCAAATTAACTTGGAAACGCAAACATTTCAATTTATGCGTTTTGTGATTGTATTTATTCTGAAGCTTAAAATGATATTCTTAGGTTATAACCTTAGAATTAGAAGGACTGTCAAACTAAACAAAAATATTTGCTGAACAGCTTACTGCTGTATACGCGAGTTTATGGCTGTTTCGATGTCTTGTCGGACTGTGTACAGTTCCCTATTTCTTGCGCCAAAAATTCGTTCCTTCGTTAGGCTCGGTTGTGAAGCCGCCGCCATCTTGGACCAAACTACGCTGGGAACGGGGAGGGGGACGGGTAATGTCAAAAAAGTATCTGATTAAGTTTAACTCGTACTGTGAGAACGAGAATTGAAATCTTAATCAGTAAATTACCCAAATAACATACAAATTCGGCCTTCCAGTACCTTCTGTGCATGTTATGAGGGTAAAGAGAACCTAATTGATTGGAACTTTATTTTGCTTGAAGGTCTTCCACGCAGAACTCGAACGATCTGTAGCCACGTTAGAATCCGCAGATGTCAAGTCGCCGACTCAAGTTATATCAGACCCGAATGAAAAGTCCTGGGTACTAGAGAACAAGCTTGCAGATATCAATGAACGTTACAACAGGTAAATAATGTTACAAATATTCTTGTTTTTAACATTTTAATGTTGCTTTAATTCTGCAGGCCTATCGAATGTGCTGAAATGCGAAATGACTTGGCTGACATCTGTCACGCATTCCCCTTTTGTTAATTCTTTGTCACACATTCCATTTGTGCTACATCTGCTATGAACTGTATTTTCCACTTTTTGTTTTCTAACGTGTGGTCACGCATCCTACTCTTGTTTTATCCCACGGCCTGTATCGCATTCCACGCATTCCTAGGTCACGTATCCCTCTGGTGTTACATCTCCTATCATGCATTGCTTAGTTACTAATTTCTTACTAGCATCATTCGACAGTTTTCTTGTATTCAAGAGCGTTATCTATTTCCTTGCAGGCTTCTGTTGCTACTCAGTGAACAAGGAACTATCTTGGACCGCTCGTGGCGTCAGTTACGTGAATACGACAGTCAAGCTTCACAGGTGCTACCTTGGTTGAACAGTGTAGAGGACACACTAGCAAGATACATGGCACAGCCTCTGAAACCTGATCCAACCGCTATTAAACAGCAAATCAGCGATCTTCAGGTAACCAGAAATAAGGCAGCCTTTGTGCAGAGGTCCTCGATTTTCTTTCACGCGGAATAAGTAGAAATAAAGAGACACGGTTGAATATTAAAAAAAAGAAATAGTTTGGGTACCAGTTACTGTAGTTTATAAAAAAAAAAAAGGTAATGAAATAGAGGATTGTGACGGTAATAAGGTGTGGCTCAGAAGTTGAACTTTAGGGCTTGGTCGAGACCTCCTGATTACAACAGCAGTATCTTAACATTTGAGCAATGCTGTCACTTGAAGAAGAAGACAACGGAAATGAAACAGAATTAGAAGCCTTTACTTAAGTTGAACAGATCAAAATTTACCAGAATTGAAAAAGGTTTTACTCTTGTTATAAATCTAATTTGTGTTTGTTCTCTTGTTAGACGCTGCAAACAGACGTGAATTCACATCAGGCGGAGATCGTAGCTGTCAGCGTGCTCGGTCACAGCGTGGAAGGGTTAATTCGCGTCCCCGAGTTTGAGCGAAAAAAGTCGATTAATCAGCGATACGATGAGCTGTGTGCGAACATCTCTGTGTACCAGGCCAAGCTGCAGTCCGCACTCACTAACTCACAGAACTTCAAGGATGGATTAGAAGTCGCTATCAAGGCGCTGACTGAACTCAAGAAACAACTGGATAAACTGCCACCCGTGTCACGCAATCTCATTGAACTTAGAAACCAGGCGCAACAATTCAAGGTAATGTGACAAACGCTACGCACGCTCTGCTTGATCGGAAACTGTTTTGTATAACTGGATGACGAGCTATAAAAAAAAATCCGAGAGAGGAAAAAAATGGTGGGGAAAATCCTGGGGGCGAGATGCGCCTTTTTTTCCCCCAGGATTTCACGCGGCCATTTTTTCCTCGCGGTTTATTTATTAAGCGAAAGAAGGAGTACCCGTTAGTCGTAGGCTAAAGATAATTGGATTCTTTTGTTTTCAGATTCTTCAAGTGGAAGTGAATCGCCATGGCACGTCAGTGGAAGCTCTAAACGAGATGTTCCACTCACAGAAGAAGAAACACAAAGAATCCAAACTGAAACAACTCAACAAACTATGGGCTGAAGTGATGGAAAGATCCGACAAGCGAAAGGAAGAATTGAAGAGTGTGTTCATTATGATCGCAAAAGATTTCGAACGCTGGGAACTGGGAATGATCAAGAGACTTGATTCCGGTGAACTGGTGACTAGTGATATACTCGTGTTCGAAGAGAAGTTACAGGTGAGTGGCATTCGGTTTTATTTCTTTAATGTTCAAACTGTGAATTCTCTTTATTAACAGCCATGCATTTCATTCATCGCTAGCTCTGAGAATTAAAAGATGCATTATTTATTTAATGTTCCTTGGTTGACTGGTGTCTTTTCTCTTGTAACATGTATCCTTGAAATTGTGCTGACATTTGGAAGAGAAAGTGGAATTTGCAAAACGTTACATCGTTCGTGACGCGTGGAAGGACTCGGCACGTTTTCCGCGCCACAAACTTGCCTTTCCAAATAATGTTTGCCTCGTGTCCACGTGACCAAAGTCACGTGGACACGGGGAAATGGGGTGACCTTACTGCATTCCTGTGGGAGGATTTTTTTGGTCTTTCAAAAGTACACTGACGGTTTTTAAAAGATACGACATTGATCTTTATCTTTATCGGGGATCGGTTTTGACTGATTTGTCAACGCTTGTTAAAAGAATGTCACGTAATGCTATATTTCAATAACTCCTACAAACGCTTGCAAGTAATGCTTTACTGTTTTTTGTTTATTAGCATTTCCAAGATGAAGTGGAGAAGATGCGACCAGCTTTCCAATCTGTGAATCAAGGAGGTCACGAGCTGATCAATCTGGAGAAGAACAAACAGCAGTCCATCATTCTGGAAACGTTAGATCGCGTCAACAAGAACTGGCAGGCTTTGGCCATTAAACTGCTAAACACCACGGCTAAGTTTGATGAATTACAGGAGCAATCAGAGAAGTTTTACTCAGTCTACAAAAACGTCACTGTCTGGTTGGACAACATTGAAGTGAGGCTTGTCTCCATACCCCCTGTGGGTCTCGACCCTGATGTGCTCAGCTCACAGATGAAAGAACAGAAGGTAATACGAAGGTTATGACGGCATTGGGGAAGGGGGTAAATTATTGGGAAAATGTTGCAGGAAATTGAAAAAATTGAATTTAAAATTTGATAAAGGGTTGGGTCAGACAGGGATAATCTCGAGCTATTTTTAGAATGCAGCTACCGAATGATACGTAAAGCAAAGGACAGTACGCCTTAAATGCCAGATACTCACTTCTTATATCATTGGGCCTAGCTGGATATTCAACTTATTCCATCTATTCTTCTATATTCCTATTCCGATTTATTCCATCACCAATGCTCCAAATATTCACAAGGGTATTAAAGTAAGTCACCGCTCCTGAGTCCACAACAACGGTTTATTTCTACTACTGTAAACAACTAAAAGAATTTACAAGATTATAATTATAAATAAATAAATAAACAGNTGGTATCCGCCAGGCTCCCTTCAGTGTCATTTGCATGACGTGCAGCTCACGACAACAACAACAGTTTATTTTTCTACTACTGTAAACAACTAAAAGAATTTACAAGATTATAGTTATAAATAAATAAATAAATAAACAGTACAGTACATACAGTAGTGGGACACCCAAAATAACTAAAAAGCTAAACTAGTTAGGTGACCGTAATTATAATAATTAAAAATGTGAGAGTCAGGAAAGAGGCACAACAAATACATTGGTACACATAAATATTATAAACTTGGTACAAGAGTAAATATACAAAACAAAACAAAGTAAATAGATATAAACCATCAAAATATCAGTAAAGAGTAACAGAGACTAATGAAATGCGAAGTTAGTTCTTTTTTAAATTGATTAGAAGTACAACACTTGAATCTTTCATCGAGTTCATTCCATAATTTAGGTCAATTAAATCGAATATTAAATTTGCCATAATTTGTTCGAATTTTTGAATTTTTTCTTCTTGGAGAGTAAGCGTCGCCATTTGACACCAGGACTGTGTGGGTAACCCAGTGTGAGCTATGATTGGATAGTGGGTGCCGTTTAGTGGTAAGCACTCATCATTTACAGCTTGCGCTAGTTACCCACACATCCTATCTCTGAATGGGAATGTACAGCTTCCTTGCAGTTTCAAGAAGCCGGACGAATTTCCCAGTTGTAATGGGGTGTTTGACTCTATATTGCAGGCGTTACAGAACGAAGCCGTGCAGTACAAGGCTCAAATCGATCTCCTTGTGGGACTGGGAAAGGTCATCATCAGTATCACAGCCCAGCAGCCCAGTGACACGCCCCAGTGCCCTCTCGAGGAGGACTTAACATCAGTACGTACGCGGTACGATGAAGTGTGGAAGCGTTTGGAAACGCGCAATGTAACGTTAGAGACGACAGTGTTACAGATGGAGAAATACAGGAGACTGGTGAGGAATATAACTATTTTCCTGGGACGGACGGAGAAAAGACTGGGAAAGCTGGAACCTGTGGGGGGAGATACGGATACAATCAGGCGACAAATATCTGAACACAAGGTAAGATCCAGGGGCTGATGTGTGAAACACGTCTAAACGTTGCATTATTCGACCATCCGGTTAATATGTTTCCACGTAAACTGAAAAAGAGACAAACAAACAGACAGGCAGGCAGACAGACAGACAGACAGACAGACAGACACACCGACAGACCGACCGACAGACAGACACAGCCAGCTAGACAGACAGACAGACGACAGAGTCAAGGAGTACTTTTCCATCATGCAACTTTTGGGAAGGTAACGCTGCGTGACTATCATAATATGAAAAGTGAATTCTGAACTTATAACTGAGAGTTCACATGCCAGATTTTCGTTTGCCCTGCCTATTCCATGAATAAAGCGTAACGATACCTTTTTGATACCACGTAGACTAAGTTGAATTTGTTTTCGTTTCTTAACAGAACTTTGGTACATTTAAAGACATAGTTGCTTTCGCTTGGTTTTATGGTCTGATTATGAAAATCAAAACCTGATGATAATCTATGCTAACAGAACTGCTGTCGACTTGTTTTCTTAGACTCTTCAGAAAGAAATTGCCCAGAACAAGGGGGATGTTGCGCTGCTGTTGAAGGCGGGAAATGATTTGTTAGAAGGTCGCGAAGGAGCTGCTGGAAGCGACGAAATCCAGGCTAGTATTAACTCCCTTCTCTAGCATTGTTAACCTTGGCCAGTGCCCTTGTGTGTAGCAAGTTGTTGAATAAACTAAGGTTGCCCTAAATATTAGTCTAAAATCATTCCCAAACTATCGTATGTAAATGTTTTACTGTAAATTGTTACCACACTTTAATGCATTGCTCGTTAAGTCTAAACTACTTGTAGGTGGTATGTTGTGTTACTAACATGGCTTCTGGCCTTGCCTATAGGAGGAGATTGCTAGCGTTCGAGGTCGGATGGAGTTCATCGTGGTGGCGTCAAACGAGCGACAAAAGGAACTGGAGAGCACATGGAGTACAGTCAAGAATCTGGACGAGTCGGTCCAGTCTCTCACGGTCCAGATCAAACGACGGACTGGAGAAATCGAATCTCTCTTACAAGAGGAAGATCCCAAGAATCTGAGCAGGCGGGTCAAGGTAAGAGAGAAACTATGGTTGGGATTTTACCGTAACTGATGCATTTCGAGATTATTCAGCGGGGTAAAGTAAAATAGCTCAATTCTGATCACAAATTAGAGTACACTTTTTCAAGTTTGTCGTTTTTAACCCATCTCAATCTTTCCCAGTCTCAACAGTCCTTACCCCTTTTTATTGTTTTCATTTTAAGTCTCAAAACTCGGTCAATATCTCTTGACCATTTCCCTTGTCTTTCCAAAGGCTTTAGATCTCGAGGTGACCAGACTTAATTACCAGCTTGCGAACACGAATGAGACTGGACAGGAGGTGGTTCGCCATCTACAGGATACAGATCAAGACCCAAGTGTTGTTATAGACAAGGTGGACGGAGTCAACAACCAGTGGGACCAACTACAAACCAGATTTCTGGAGCTTAGAAATCGTGTTGGAGACAAGGTGAGTCCGGAAAGATTGTACGCATGCCCTCACGTGATAAGTCTCACTCTTCGTGTTTCGCGATTCACATTTCATGCGTCACGCTTACGCTTCACGCATCAGCCTTCACTTTTCACACTGCACACCTTCACGCTCCATTATGTGATCATTTGAGAGAAGCAGTTAGGTAGCCTGCATGCCAAGTGGTGTCTCATAGAAATAACGTGACAGTCACGCTGTTTGTGGAGCCTGGTGACGGTGAACTGCAGGATGAGGTAAATACTTTTTTGTACAGTTTAGTAAAATTCTACCTAACATCAGCTTGTAGCCATTTGGGTGACGCTCCCGACTTCTTGGTGCGAATCTTGAACATTCGAATCTTGAAGGATTGCTATGTAACGCATGCGTTCAGTGTAAAACACAGACTGCATAGTAACGCTAACTCTAACCCTTACCAAAAACTAACCTTAACCCCGTAAATTAACTCCGACTAACAATATGTGTAAAAATTAACAGTTAAGCTAAGCGTTGCCCTAAACACTAATTCGATCTGTTGTCTGCTTTCTCTCTGACCGGTTTCCCATGTTGGACGGTTTCCCATTTTGATTGAAGGCCTGGCATTCTTTTTGTTATACAAATCGTCGTTGAAATAGCCTCCAGGGATAGTCTTTGTTTTTTCTTTCGGTGGCGTTGAATCAAAGAATACAGCTTTATGATTTTAGAGTGGGGTGATTTCTCTTTTGTAGTTGCTTTGAATGCGGAAAGAATATTATAACCTCAAGACAGTGATAAATTTTCGAGAATTTACTTGTTAATTTGCCACATCCGCACGACTATATCAGACAGGTTTTGCTGTGACGTGTTAACCTTGGCAACTCGGCTTTCGGTCTTGAATTCATTTGTTTTATAATGTTATTTCAAGGGACTCTGAATTTCTGCCTATTGTGTTGGACCATCTCGAAAGCTTTGGCGACATTTTCGTCTCGTCATAGGTGACAGTTAATGAACAGTCTATATCGCGATACGACAGTTCTTCGTGAACAATTCGGGAGAATTTGGCGGCTCTCTTCCAATGCTAATCGCTTGCTGTCTCAAGGGTGAATGATTATTTGGCGACGGCGTGCGGACAGAACGTCCAAATGAATCCGATATCCTCCGCTGTTGCTCGAGTTTTTGGCTTCTTTAGGAAGCAAGGAAAAGATGTAAGTTGAACCTTTAACTTGTTCTCTGATTAAGACGCTGAAAGAGCAACGTATTTGTCCTAACTTTTTGAAATTCGTTGGTCTCATATCGTGTTAGTCTTCTTCCAATCTTTAGCTATCCTGTTTGATTTATTATTACTTGCAAATTGTTTGCTAGCTTAGCGTTTTGAAGCTTTAATTTGTTCGATTTAAGCAGAATGGGAAGATGTATTCTAACAACGTGGCAAGGCTCCTTCGAGTGGAATTATAACTTTGAATGCATGAGTTGTTTTCTGTTGGTGTAAATGCAAATTTGGTCATAACGGACTAAAACGGATTTTTATGCGACTCTGTCACTCACGAAAATTTAAAGTTCGTGTATCAGTTCAACAAGACGAATTCTTGCACATTGTGCTGGAAATTTCGCCTAGTTCAGAACCAAAGATGCTATATATCGCGAGCGATATAGTTCAAGGAAATTTGAAAAACCAAACGCAAATTGAATATTTGATTGACGTGGCCTTCCACACAATGTGAAGTGGCATTTAACAGATTCTTATTGGTGGATATACACGCTCAGTTCGACGACAAAATCAAATGACTCGACGAGTCTCGTGATGTCTAGTTGATCATATGAAAAAACTGCTTTCTTTCAAATATTTCTTTTGATTTCTTAGTCATAAATCTTAGGTACAAAATTCAACATTAAAGGCAACTAGTTTTTTGGAAACTTGTTTTGAAATTTTAGCTCGAAACGCGGGAATCCCAAATAGCGATCGATGGTGGTTTTGTTTGCTGTTTATTGAAGGTTGTTTTTTCTTCTGGTGGTTCTTTGGCTCTTAGAAATCAAGGACGATATCAGCCCCATCAGTATTGCTTGTGAAAAATACGTGCTCACGGACTCGTAAATTTACATTGAGAGATTAATTTAATCTAGGAAAAGGATGTAAAACATGTTGTTACCTAGGATAGTGTTTTTACTAACTTCCGAGGATCTTGGCGTGGCGCTCTGACATTTTCATTATATTTAAACCCATACCATTTCTTAGGAAATGTTCGTAAAATATAATTCTAGATGATTTATTCGCTCTCGGAGGATTTATCGCCTTGCTTGTGAATGTTTAATTGGGCCCCGCCCACCTTAACGGGTTTCCAAAGAATTTCGTATTTTATTTTGGCAACTGATTGACAAGTACCTTCAATGTTGAGAACGTATTCTCAACAACAATTATCGCAGCATTTGCTCTTTTGCTTGTTATTAAAAAACCCCATCTACATGTAAATTTAATTAATAGCTCTAGACAAAGCTGATTAAATAGTTCGTCCCCTCACCAACCGAGGAACCAAGCAAGAATGTAGAACTCAGGAATGCAGGAGGCGCTCTATCAGCTGTCAAGTGCGTACCTTAACGAGCGCTGTTGGGAGCTTTTCGTACGTTTATGACATGCATGATATTTCCTTGTATCTTTAGGAAGATGAGCCTCAGGGAGACGGCGATTCTACCGTACCATTTAAGGTCACAACAGTAAAAAAGAGTCAGATTGAAGGATTCGAGGTTCCCAAATCAGTTAAATCGGAGCCACAAGTCGTAGAAACTCACGAAAGGTCAAGATTCAAAGGAGAGCTATCTGCTAGACCGTTTGAATTAGGAACGTCTGCTTTAAGAACCGCTGATGGTGATAAAACTATTGAGGACAAGTCTCCTTTTGGAGTTACCACAGTGAAAAAGGGCACTATAGAAAGCTTTAAAATTCCAGTCCCCCACAAACTCGAACAAGAGACTAAACAAGGCGAGAAAGGTGCTGTAGTAAGTAAATCAGTGTTCGAGTGGGGAAGACCGCTTCTTGGAGGATCATCTGATGAAGAAGATTACAGCGAAGAAGATGAAGATGAGACTGGGGAGGACAGTGGTAGACAACCTCTCGTGCAGGAATCAGCGGCACCTGTTTACTTGGAGAAAGAACCAAGTGAGGTGAGTATTCCTTTGCAGCGTTCAGTAAGAAAGATAGTGAAGCCCGAAGAAGTTATCGAGGAATACGTTGATGAAGAAGGTCGCCAGGTGAAGAGGATTTCTAAAGTAACGACCACCAAGACAATAACCAGGTCAGAGCGTCGTTTACCCGCCCAGAAGATGGATGTTGATGTCCCTTCAGAGCCAGGAGAAGACTTAGAGGAGTACACAGACGAAAATGGTCAGCGAGTAAGAAGAGTTGTACGGACTTCTTTTACCACTACTCCCAAGACGGTGTTGCGAGATGGGGCGGTGAAAGTTGTCCTGAAACCAGGAGATCATGGTCAACGCGAGCTTAGAGAAGGACCCGAGCAAACTGAAAGAATTCACACGTTTACCTCAGACGACGGTCGTCGCACACAAAAGCTCACCAAAACCACATTGACGACTCGGTTGAAAAGAACTGTACAACCTGTGACTGTCCAGTTGCCGTCACCAGCATCATATCCTATACATGAGGATAATCAGCCACCCATGGATCAAGACGAAAATTTTAATCTTGCAAGAGTAGAAAGAAATGTTTCTTACCCAGAGTGGCTCGAAACCGTCAAAGAAAAACCTTCAACACCAAAGGAGATTTCTCTCTCATCGATACAGGTAGAACCACTTCAACCCGTTTTACCGACAGTGCATATCCCTGAGAGACCGGACATCGTCGAAGAACTGTCGGCAACCGTTGTTGAAAGGCACCGGCCTGTAATATCCCTCCTGGATCTTGAAGAGGACAAAGAAAGCCCAGAAATTCGCGATCGTAAACGAATACAACCTCCAGAGGGTCCGTCCGGGATATCTGAGATACCACGAAAACGGGCGCACAAGGAACCATCACCTACGCCCCCCACGGAACGCGATGCGGACCCTCAAGTGGAAATAGACGATGTACAGGAAGAAGATGAAACATCAGAGGATGATGAAGCCGACGAGTTTAATGAAGAGATTGTGGTACTTGAGGTTAAAAGGCACCCACGGGTTCCCAAATGGTTTGTTGTTGTGCCTGACAAACCTGAAGAACCTCTCAAAGCGGATGGTTTAGATTATCCAAAAAGAATTACCAGCTCTGTGTCCCAGGTTAAAGAAAGGCCTGAAATAAAAGAAGATGCGTCTTTTATCAACATCGAAAGAAAAGTAACAATCCCTGTTCTAAGCTCGTCCTTTGAAAACGAGGCACCAATGGAGGTTGATGAAGTCAAGGACGATCCACATCAAACTGTTAAGAAAGAAGCTCGACAAATTGAACCCGTCGAGGTAACATTTCCTGTAGTACCATCAGAAGATGAATCGCCGGAAGACGTCGAAGAGTATATTGACGAAAATGGTGTTCGAATAAAGAGAATTGTGAGGCGAACCATTACAACAACAGCCATTAAAAGGGAAGATCAAGGTATTGAACGGATGGAGATCAGGTCTCCAGTAGTACCCTCAGAAGAGGAGTCACCAGAAGAAAGTGAAGAGTATATTGATGAAAATGGTGTTCGGGTGAAGAGAATGGTGATTACCAGGGCTAGGATGAAATTTCCTGTGGCACCATCAGAACAGGAATCCCCAGAAGAAGTCGAGGAATATGTTGATGAAAATGGTGTTCGTGTGAGAAGAATTGTGAGGCGAACCATTACAACAAGAAGTATAATTCGTACATCTGTTGATGAAACAAACGACGGTCCAGGTGCAAGGATGTTTGAGTCAGCGGCGCCTGTTTACCTTGACTCTGATGATGTTGTTCCTTCAGTGCAAACACGTGAAGTTGTCCTTCCTGAATGGATGGAAGAGAGTGAACCAGCATCGGAAGAACCGAGACAACCTACAGAGGACATTTCCTTCGTAATTCTGCCGTCCCAGCCAAGAGAACCTCAGTCAAAAGGAGACCTTGACCGCGAGGACGTAATGGAGAGAGTTACCTCGACAACTTTGAGTAGGGAAATAATTATGCCTGAAATCGAGGGAATGGAAGACGAATCACCCGAAGAAGTTGAAGAGTATGTTGATGAGAACGGCGCTCGGGTGAGGCGGATTGTCAGGAGAACCATCATGACAACCAGTATCAAAAGAGAAAGTCAAGGGATTGAACCAGTGGAGGTTAAATTTCCTGTTGCATCATCAGAAGGTGAAAGTCCAGAGGAAGTCGAGGAGTATATTGATGAGAATGGTGTTCGGGTGAGAAGAATTGTAAAACGAACCATTACAACGGCAACTATCAAAAGAGAAGGCGCTGAGATTAGACCAGTGGAAGTTAAATTTCCTGTAACGCCATCTGGACACGAGTCACCAGAAGAAGTCGAAGAATATATTGACGAAAATGGTGTTCGTGTGAGGAGAATTGTGAGGCGAACCATTACAACAAGNTCGGGAAATAGTTATGCCTGAAATCGAGGGAATGGAAGATGAATCACCCGAAGAAGTTGAAGAATTTGTTGATGAGAACGGCGCTCGGGTGAGGCGGATTGTCAGGAGAACCATCACCACAACCAGTATCAAAAGAGAAAGTCAAGAGACTGAACCAGTGGAGGTTAAATTTCCTGTTGCACCATCAGACGGTGAAAGTCCAGAGGAAGTCGAGGAGTATATTGATGAGAATGGTGTTCGGGTGAGAAGAATTGTTAAACGAATCGCTACAACGGCAACTATAAAAAGAGAAGGCGCCGAGATTGGATCAGTGGAAGTTAAATTTCCTTTAACACCATCTGAAGATGAATCACCAGAAGATTTCGAGGAATATATTGACGAAAATGGCGTTCGTGTGAGGAGAATTGAGAGGCGAACCATTACAACAAGAAGTGTAATCCGTACATCTGTTGATGAAGCAAAGGACGGTGCAGGTGCAAAGATGTTTGAGTTAGCAGCTCCTGTTTATTTTGACTCTGATAATGTTGTTCCTTCAGTGCAAACACGTGAAGTTGTTCTTCCTGAATGGATGGAGGAGAGTGAACCAGCATCAGAAGAAGCTAGACAACCTACAGGAGACATTTCTTTCTTAATTGTGCCGTCGCAGCCAACAAAACCAGAGTTAAAGGAAGATCTTGACCACGATGACGTAATGGAGAGAGTTCCTTCGGCAACTTTGAATCGGGAAATAGTTATTCCTGAAATCGAGGGAATGGAAGATGAATCACCCGAAGAAGTTGCGGAGTATGTTGATGAGAACGGAGTTCGTGTTAGGCGGATTGTCAGGAGAACCATTACAACAACCAGTATCAAAAGAGAAGGTCAACGGACCGAACCAGCGGAAGTAAAATTTCCTGTTGCACTATCCGACGACGAGCCACAAGAGGAAGTTGAAGAGTATACTGATGAGAATGGCGTTCGTGTGAGACGAATCGTGAAACGAAGCATCACAACAACAACAAGAACAACTATTAGGAGACAAGGCCATGAACTAGAGCCAGCGGCGGTGGAATTTCCTGTACAAGACAGAGAAGGCATTTCTCCTGATGAATTGGTCGAAGAATATGTTGATGAAAATGGTGTTACAGTAAAGAGAATCGTAAAACGAACGACGACAACAACCGTGCAGCGAAGAGTCTTGTCTGAGGAAAGAGATAAGCCTGTTGGACTATACCAGGTAACCGAAGAAGTAGCTCCAAGGAAAGAAATAGAAAGTGTTGAGGCGATTACACCTGAAACTGTTCTTTTCACTCAGATGCAAGCAATATCTCCCAGAAGAGAGTCCATTCCATACGAAACAACAGTTGTACAACGTTACCTCGTTATCATCGAAACACTGTATCAGTATGTTTTAGAGCACAAGTCGATGATTTTTATCTACAGCTCGAGGTACATGCAGTTTAATTTTGTTCTGGAGAATTTCTTACAGTGGATGCTTGTCACGTTGAAGACGCTGAGCTGGATGAGGCCAGTCTCGTGGAAGGTGGATGAAATCAAAGACCAGCTGCAACAGATCAAGGTATTCCTGTCAGATGGAATGTGTGTAGATTTGCATGATGGCTGTCAATGCTGTTGAGAGAAATTGCATGACAATTGCATGCCAGGTAGAATTGCATCGTTTCTGCTTGTGACAGGAGACGTAGCGTACTGTTGACCATCGTTGTAGATGTGTGTTTTTATGAGGTGAAACCTTTTTTAAGAGACAGGAATTTGTGGTCGTCGCTTGCATGCTTAACGAGCAACGTAGTCTCTTATGGTGGCTCATTGTCACAGAAAAACAAGCAAAATAAGGACAGCAGATGGTACTCTAAAGCTGATAATCTGTAAATAACATAAATCACCAAATTGTAAAGAATGCGATCGATTGAACGTTCTTGACGAAATGATAAGCAATCGGGACCGTGTGGTTCCACTCTAAGAAATAACAAACTACCTCTCTCCACGAGGAGAGTTTTACCAGCATGAATCCAAGACTGACCTTCTTGTAATAAACATTTATTCCGTTCTTATTTTATATTGTCAATTAAATAACAAGATCTAAATGTTATAATAATAACAATAAAATAAAGCTGATCTATTACGTTATGTGTGCACCAAGCATTCTTTTGATATTGTTTTTATTTTTTTTGCACATCACACTGTGTCATTTTACATTTTGTCCACAGTGGCTGGTGTTTATTTAATCACATGTCATTGGCTGTCAGTGTCATCTTATTGTACCAATTAATGATTGGTTTTGGTGAAAGTGATCAGTAAATATGAACACGTTATGCACTTGTAACAGTACCCTGTACATCGCTTTGTGTTTTATTTCTGTTTAACCCAGTTTTTTTTCTTTTTCAGAGTAATAAGTTGTGTTAGTGATGTGTGTTTGAAAGGTTTTATGGATTGTTTGCTAGCCATATCGCTTCATCCACCTGCCGTTTGAGCTTCAAACTGACCTTCCCCTTGCTAACTTCACGTTCATCGTTCTTTCAGTGCAAGTGTTCTCTCAACATACCTCCTTTATGTATTGTCCTCTTCAAACATATTCATTTATACACGACACGTGCTTGTACGTTGATACTCTAATACATCATCTCTGGTTCCAACAGAATCGATTTTCTTTGTGTTCGTGCACCCATTCCTTCTTCGATCTGCACACTCCGTACTGTGTTCGTTAGTCTTGATCATTTACAAATTGTATGAGCATTGTTTGCACGTTGTACCCAAGTATCCATGGCATCAGCTGTAGTTTACGCGACCGTTCCACGTTTTCACTGTCCACCCATATGCACTTGTTTGCTCATTAAGCTTTGATAATCTCTTAACGTTCACATTGGGTTCATTTAGACTTAAAAGTCGACATATTTTCTCTTTATGCCTTTCTGTCGTGATTGTAAGAATCGTTCGTTAGCCTATTAACAACTGAACTAAATATGTTATTCTTCTAAAACATGTGAATTGTGTAATTATAGCTTTTAAACAGCTAATAATAATCTTTTGTTGTAACAAAAGGTGTTTCATCAGCCTAGCTATGCTCAATTGTTAGTTATTTACAAAATTTATCCTCTAATTTACCGAGTCAATTAAGTATTAATCTGCTAAATGCAAATAACAATTTAAACGGATAATTCAAACGTTGTCCTGTCGCAAATTGCAAATCGTTGTGAAGGAAGTTACGATGAGAAGTAGCTCGGGATCCTAACAGTTAAAAATGGTAATGATCCAATATTCATTTAAAAACAAACACGACTGACGCAGAAATCCTGACATACGTATTTACTTAACCTTTCCACTGCTGGAGTAAAACGTCACCCCCCAAAGAGTGGTTCTACCTCTCAAGTTTAGATGAAACCCAAGTGTGTGGCTATTCTTAGAGACCACAAGAAAGATGCACCGCTACTATTTTATTGATAGAATCATCTTTATTTTCTCAGAACATTGAAGACGAAATAACTGACCGTACACCTATCATCGAAAACTTCACCAAAGTCAGCGAGATCCTGGTACAGAACGCACAACCAGGCGACAAACAGGACCTCTCCAGGGAGATACATCACGTGACTGAAGCATTGAGCAGCATCGTTGATATGACCGCTGACCGACGAAGGACCTTGGAAAACGTGCTGCCTCTAGCCGACGAATACTACAATGACTTGGAAAAGCTGGCACAAGTGATGTCTAAGGTGGAAGACCAGCTGAATACGCAGCGAGCATTTGGGGCTGAGCCAGAAAGCATCAAGGAAGAAATTGAGGAGATTAAGGTAAGGTTGTGCACTTATTTGTAGCGTGAATCGCATCTGGCCTATCACAGTGAACAACGTTATGGGCCAATCCGAAATCGAAGCAAAAAGGTGTAACCGTTACCAAGCGCGGGAACAACGCGTGAAGTATGCCATAATTACTTTTGGTTTCGCTTTTTGCTGTGAACTCAGGAAAAAAGGCACGCACAAAGGACAAGGAAACAGTTCCTTCAGGCGATAGTCGATTGAAAATCGCTCCACTTTGGTCCGAGTTCATTTAGCCTGGACTTCGTTTTTCGTACAGCAAAAGTTAAGTGAATTTAGATCAACTTATTCTGTTGTTGTCTTGAGAAGTAGATGTTTCAGCGTAAGGATTACTTTTCAAGCCTTGCTTTAACATTCTGCAATTTCGACACATCGGAAAACGCGTGTTGCAGTATACTTTACAAACCAGGCTGCCTCACGTTCTTAAAAAGCCGTTTCCACTAATCCTGAGGTGTTTAAGGCCCCGTCCACACGTATCCGGATATTTTTGAATCCGCAACTTTTTCTTTCCGGATACGGCTTCCGTCCACACGCGGCATCCGGCGAATTCGGCAGCGAACCCGGATATTTTTGCTACGTGTGGACGGGGAAATTTTTGAATCCGGAAAGAAAAAGTTGCGGATTCACAAATATCCGGATACTTGTGGACGGGGTCTAAATCTGAATATATAATAAGAATGTTGGCAGCACTCCGTCTCGCTTTCACACGCTTGTTTCTGTACGGTTATGTGCGAGAGTTAATTTGTAGCTGTTGTTTCACTCTTTCCTTTTGCCACTTGGATTGTCTGTTTTTGCTTTTTGAAAGTGCAAAAAACCTAAGCTGTCTTTGTGCATGTTTGATAAACGAAGAGAAGTTTCTCTGAATTTTAAATTCCATTTTCAAAATAGTTTCTTATTTACAAAGCTGAAGGCATCGTGAAAATACTTAACATACCTTATGGTGGTAATCTTTAGGTTAATGGAAATTGTAGCCATTGCTTTCTTTTTCATTGGAAACAAAGAACCCGCGATAAAATATTAAAATGCCTAAACCGCGGCAAAAAGTGACAAACTGCAGACCACGTGATAGGTTAACGTGCGCTGCTTCTTAAATTTAAGTTGTTTGCTCGGAAACGAAGTAAAAACAAAGATATATAAAAAAGTGAAAACAAAGATAAGTAATCGCCTTGGAGTAGAGTAGAATAAATGACTCGAAGCTTAAACAGGTTTGTTTCCTTAGCAGGAATGCGGATCAATGGAAATTTCTAAGGCCTCTAAGACAGTTCATTACAATATCGATTTATTCTTGATTGATCAAATCTAGTGAACGAATCGCTTTCTTTTTTCTGGTATATGTCACTTGAGTTTTCGTTTTGACAGTTTTATAAGTGAGCATTTGTTTGTGTTAGGGGAGAGAAGCGTAGAATTAGTTTGTAATTATGTAAAACCTTTTCTTGGCTAATTTAGAGAACAATTTCACCTCCTGCCGTTGATACTGTAATGGCTCGTAATTCAATAGATATTTTTGGCAGAAGAAAAGTGCATTGTAAACTATTTCTTTTCATTGCTAACGAAACGTAAGAAAAGAACTAATTGGAAGGAAAGTGTCTGAATTGTAATCAAAGGTGTTTCCAGTGAAAGCAATAAAAGCTTTTGTTCACGTTTGTTTTGTGTGTATTACCGTATACGGGTGAAACGAACAAGGCAATGTGCTTTTGTTTGTCCTATTTCAGACTGGTGTGTAGCTTGTTTTCTCGCCGTATGAATTGTTTTTGCCCTTGCTTTTTATATTGGTCTCGTGACAGCCATAACATTTTCTTTACATTTTGGAAAACAGATTACCTTCTGCAAAAATTAATTATGGCTTTTCATTAGAAGTAATGCCCGCTGTGCACTTTTTCGAATCTTGTAGCGAAAATTTTATTAACATAGGTAATTACCTTTTTCACAATTCGCCCGGCCAAGCTTTTTAAACACTGGTATATTTGCTTAAAACAATATTTAAATGTTATTTACCGTACAGTACGTGTATTCATAGAAACACGTCACCAGGCACGCGCTGGATTTAGCGACAAAATATTTTTACTAAACATACGGCGAGATTTTTGTTGTCGCGTTGTTTAAAAAGTGATATTAAATTTTCGCAGTTTGCCAGCTCAGTGGGATTGCAGGAATACTGCTTGTTTGTTGCGATCTACTGTTTAACGGAGTACACTATACGGAAATGATTGTTTCTTTGTTTAACTCAGGACTGTCCATAACAACAATGACAGCGAGCTTGTCTCGAATGTAAATTTCGAGCTTGCGAATGCATAATTAAGTGGCAGGTTTTTGAGGAGGAAATTCACGCAGACACAACGGTTCTCTCGATTGTTTTGGGAAAAGCGAGTCATCAGCGACCAGTAATCCAACCAGGAATCTATCTATAAATTATGTCTTCAAACCATCGCTTTAACTCTTCGTCAAAAGGTTATATCGTTTTCTTTCCCGCGACCAAGCGAATGAATGGAAAAAGTTATTGATATAAATCATGCGTATGATAAACTCGATCACTTACTCGTATTACGTGTTCCTCGGGACCGACTTAAAATATTGGACTTAATTGCTGGCGTTTAGAAATGTCTAACAAAGAGAAACGAAGTAATCTTCAAGAATGTGGATGCCGTGGTTGCAATTTAAACGCCAACCGCCCGAGGAAAAACTGCAGCAAGTTAGATGAAGCGGCTGACAAACACGGTCTGCGGACAAGGTTATGGTGTTCAACCGTGGAATGTTCATGCGATCGGAATAAAGACTATTTATCAAACTGGCGCGGGAATGGAGCAACGTTTATAAGATTTGCTGGGCCTGCAACTGAGAACAGTGTAAATCCTGTTGGGCATGTTATGCCGACAAATTTAAAGATTCGATCTACTTGTGGATGCTTTATAGAAAAATCATCAAACGGCAAATCTCGCGCATTCGATCTGGAAAGTAACGTGGTGTCTGAAGAAGCACCAGACAAACATGTTCGCTCCGTAACAATTTGGCAAGGAGTTTTGAATAAACCTCTATGCGTGAGAACTACAAGGTCATCTGCACTAGTTACGCTTCCAACAGATCGTTCGTTGCCGTCGGATCATAATTTTTGCGACGGCAAGCCGCAGGCTGGGGGAAAACGAATATGCAATAAGTCATTTCACTTTCGACTTGAGGTAGGCACGGAAAAATATTATCAGAATCTTGCAGCCGCGTTATTTTCGTTTGGAGGTGTGCTCTTATTTTAGCAGTGATGCAGTCGACGGTTTTGATAGTTGGTCTTTAAATATTGAAAGCCAACTTGGCAGCAATTGCTTGGTTTTTACATTAGGTCGATTTGACTTGAAAATATGTTAGTTAAAATTGGCATATTGAAATTCAAACGAATGCGATTAGAGATTTTCAAATGTTAATCTTTCTTGATCGTGGGCAGACATAGCAGGGGTTGCAATTATTAAGTAAACATTGTCAGAGGAAAAAAATAAAGCAGAAATAAAAAAAATGACAGGCACTTAAAGTGTGTATCTTTTTGTGAGCAGTTAAAGCAAATATTTTTAAATCACGTTATTTACCAGCAGAAACCAGCTGCAAGATGATTTCTGGCTAAAAGCGACGGTTTGTTTCGTCTTGCGACACGGGTACCTGCCGCTAGATAAAAACAATTCTTCAACTCTTAGTGCCACACACTTGGATATGCCGAAAACATAAAATACATAAAAATCAAAGTCAAAAGCGGTTTTGTTTAAATACAATTAAACTTCACAACTTGTAACATTTGTGTGAAAAACTTACATAAATGCTGTACATAGTTAACTTTCACTTCCGTCATGTTTCACCACATTGACGTGGTTTGCTTATATAGGACTGTTCGTGACAATTCAAAATATTGGACTTTGCAGTCCTTGACCGCTTATTAAAGCCTTGTGGTTAATTAAAGTTCAGCGAATATAATATTGCTTATATTGCTCTTTGCAGAATTTACAGTCAACTTTAGATAACGCGGCCGATAAAGAGCGCTCGTCTGGCGAAGCTCTCCTGAGTCTGCAAGACCCGTCAACAGACATGGCAGCGGTTCGAAGTCAAATGGATGCGCTGTCAAGTCGGGTGGATGCACTGAAGATCAAGATGAGTCGATTTGAGGAGCATTACGAAGAGCACATGCGCAAAGCAGCTGAGTTCCAACTTGCAGTGGAAAAGCTGCTTGCAAAGTTCGCCGGGAGGAAGGAAGAGTTACTTGCAGTTGACATTGATACCACTGACAGACAGGCGGTCAAGAAACGACTTGAAGAGCTCGAGGTAAGACCATTGGTTTCATGAACATTTTTATTCTTATTAATCTTTATAACGTGTTAATGAGCATCCAATACCTAAGGATGGTAACATTAATTTTCCTCTGCTCGATAGCCCCTTACCACCCGTATGTTCCATGAATAGGAGTATAGCGCTTTCAGACAAGCTGTATAGCCGCGGGTACTGACTCGTCAATTTCACACGGGGAATAGTTCTCGTAATGTTCTTCGGCGTTATGATCGAGTTCCAATATTTTCCCATTCATAAAATCTATTTAAATAACTATTTACCGAGATAAGGTAGTACTCTGTACTCGGTGGTTAACAATGCTCGCTGTTTTTACAGGCCTTTCGTGAAGAGATCAGTAAACATAAGCCTTTGCTCACGACAGCGACTCTGACTGGTGACTGGCTAATCAGAAATGCTCACAGTTCCAGCGCCTTGTAAGTATTACACTATTTCTACATAAACTTGAGAAATTCTTGTTTATAACCCGCATAACAGCTGTATCTTACAGCCGCCATATGCAGGATCCCAGTGCTTCTTAGCATGTTTTAACTGTGATAAGATTTTCGAACAAAGTTTGTATGTTAAGTCTGCTGAAGAACAGCTAGTTCACCAGAAACATAAGAGTATTTAACTTGTTAAGGACTGACTGACTGTATTTGCATACACCCTTCACCCAAATAGTGGAGTGGGGTGTCTTGAAACGATATGAAGGGACTATTTAAGTAACAGGGGTTCCCTTTCTTTGCTAGTTCCGAGAACTAACAGCTTTTTAATACTTTTCAAGTCCTTCCAGCTGTTCTCATTGCTTTCTAAACATTTATATAACTTTCTCAAGATTTCTTTTCGCTCCACGCGGCAGGTTGCCAAACGGTGAACGTGAGAGTGAAGCAATTCCGCGGGACATCCAAGAAAAGTTGGACAAGATCAAAGAGAACTTCCATGACCTGGAGGGGACAATCCGTCAGCAGAGACTCTATCTGAACTCTCTGTCAGTGCCGCTGGTCAGTAACTCGGTAGCCGAGAGGGAGGGGTACTCACCAAAGTAGACATACAAACAACATTAACTAACGAACGAAACAAACAAAAACAATGGGGTGGGAAAGAAGCCATTATTGCCTCCCCCCCTCCCCAGCTCAAAGTTAACATACTTACGTAAAAAGAATCCCCTCCCCCTTCCCCCCCAAAAAAGAACTTACTTTAATACCTCTCCCTCCAAATATATTCCCCTCTCCGATCGTCGTTTTCCATTTACGCCATGCTTCAGATCTTCAGTAATATCGAGAGACTACATTTTGTAGTCGTTAATTGTGAAGCAGATTTTTTTTGTGAAGAGCAGGGTTCCGGATAAGTTTTCAAGGTAGGGTGTCAATTTCCACTGATCCCACCAAATCATGATGAATTTTCTATTAATTTATCGGGTCATGTAGCTGATCTTGTCGGGTTTTTGGCCTGAGACCCCTCACTTATCTGGAACACTGGAAGAGAGTCTCAAATTGTATCAGCATGGGCCTAAATTATGCTTGACTTAATTGTTCTGGCCCGGGTTGTTTAAAAGGTGGATAAGGCTATCCCCGGATAAATCACTATCCAGCGCCGGGACAGCGTGGTTTGTTTTGTTAACACTTATCCACTGGATAACGATTTATTCGGTGAATAGTGTTATCCAACCTTCGAACAACTGAGGCCTGGTGTAGTTTTAGCTAGTCTAGTGTGCTTTATGTTTCAAATTGTAAACTGTTGTCCCGTGACTGTGTTTGTTTGCGTTCTATTGCAGGAGACAGTGTACACTCTTCCAGTGGATCATCAGCCTGTAGAGGAAGCTATAAATCATTTTATTACCTGGCTTACTCGAGCAGAGGAAGTGGCGTCTAACTATCAGCCATTGAAAGCTGATCTCATCACACTACGAGAGGATGAAATCGCTAATACGGTACACTAACACAGCAGTTTATTCTAATACTCGAGTATAAATCTTTCTTGTTTACTGTAAAGCCGCGGAAATGCGCGGCGTTTTGTTTGCGCATAAAAAATCCGTACTTTACCGCCAGAAAAACCAATGATGAATTTCTTCCGTCTTTCAATAGCTGTCGGATCGACTTTGTGGATTGTCGTATGCTTGCTCATGTTGTGCGCATTATTCATGCTTTGAGCTTACCTGAAGAACAGCTTTTTTCCCTTTTCACTGTGATTACGTTGTCATTTGTCAAAGGGATGAGACCCAAGGGAAGAGTTAAATTAAGAAAAAGGTTAATTGAAAGTACAAACAAGATTTGTGTACCGGTATTGACGACTAACGTATTTTTTTTAAAATCATTATTTGTCCCCATTGATTTATTTTGAAACCCGTTGATTGATCATCTCACTTCTTTTTAGATAGTTCCGAAACGCTGTTCTAAACCATACTGTACTGAACGCATTTTTTGCTGTCCACAGGCTGATAGGCGAGATGTTCTGATGCATGAGCCTTTGTATAATAACCTTGTTCGAAAAGTTACTGCATTCCTGGAGTCCTCAGGCCCAGGCCCCAAGAAGGACGAGTTCAGCGCCAAACTGGATGACGTCAGCAAAAGATGGGATGAGCTCAAGAGAAAAACAAATGAACGGCATGCGCAGATCGAGGATGTGTTACCGCTGGCTCAAAAGTACCACGACAACTCGCAGAACGTAAAGGATGTTGTTACTTTAGCAGAAACAGAACTGGGATCCTATTTGGGCGTTTCACCTGACGTGGAGATCGCAAAACAAGAGTTACAGAACGTCAAGGTATGCTATAGGGGTCTACATAGACGACGAGTATTATCTACTTAGTAGAACTATTGCTCTATAATTATTACTTGTTACGATTTTACGCCATGAAAATAAACTAATCTACTTTGTACTTTTAACAGGCCATATTCGTATTCTCGGTGTCGGACTGGAACCAGCTTTCTATGAAAGATATTAATGTCATTTGCATGTCAGTTACAAGCTAGTTCCAGTCTGATACCGGGAATACGAAAATGGTCCATTGGGGAGGCCGAGTCACATATAAGATTTGTAGTTCCTTTTCGTCTCTATGATTTAGTTTAATTTATGTTGATTAATTAATTAATTTCTTGTGTGTAGCAGATATTTAATAAAAAACACGGTAGGATCTTTCCTTTACTAAGAGTTGTTGCCGTGTTCAGGCGATCGGTTGGTTGGTTAGGAGGGCTATGAACGGCGTGTGCACAAAAGGACGAGAGCTAGTCAGAGAGAACAACATTAGAACAGAAAGCTGAGAAAAAGAATTCGCTTAACCCCCCAAAAGAGCCGACTATTATTTCATTCACCCGGTTTTTCTCGCTGCTCCCCTAACTCACCAAACGCCCGCAACACGTAACAGTGACAGTTGGATCAGTTGGATCAGATCAACTGTACTGCAGTCATACTTCAAATGGTTCGTTTGTGCATTGCACTAATAACTGGATGCTTGTCTCTGTACAGGGTGTGTTGAAAGCTGTTGAAAAACGAGCGCGTGATGTCAAACGAATGAACGAAGTTGGTGATGAACTAGCCAACAAGCTCGACAAGTACGATGGGATGTCAAATGAAGCCCGTCGCGATCAGCAAACAACCAATGAACGTTACGAACGAATTCGATTGGAGCTTCAAAACCGGGAGCACCTGATCGAGGCTCAAGTGAACGCCTCAGATCAATTCATGACCGCACTACAGGAGTTTGAACTGGACTTGACAGGTGTGGACGCCGCCATCTTGGAGGAACCAGCTGGAAGTGACAGTGATGCGCTAAAGCGACAATTGGCTGAGCTAAAGGTGTGTAATAAACATAATTATACTCGAATGAGTATAAACATGTTATCTGAAATTAGTATAAATCTACTAGCGTTCTATCATGTTCAAAGGCCATTCTCTGATTGGCTACGCTACTCACTATCTTTTCTGTTGTAGATAGTGAGTAGCCTTGCAGTGTGTGGCACTTAACAAAATGGCGGCCGCTTCTTTGCATTTTCGAAGTGTATGTGAAGAGGATTTAGATAAAGTTCTGAACAACTAGTAATTTATACTAAAAACATTGGATTGTTCGCTCTCGATTTCTAATTTTTGAATAGTAGAATTGTGAGGTTTTTGACAGTATTTTGTACATCGTAGATCGTTTTGTAGTGAACAAAATGTGCTTGCTCGTTGTCAGTATCTATTCAAACAGTTAACTGATGATGGATTTGGTCTTTTAGGCCACGAAGGTGGCTCTAGCTCAGCGGAGACCTAAGCTCGGCTCGCTGCAATCGAGTGGACTAGCACTAATGCAGGAGAACAAAGACAACGAGAAGTTCCTTGATGTCACTAAGTCCAAAGTCCAAAACGTGACAGATCTGTACTGCAGCATCGAGGACAAAATCAAGGATCGCATTACGCTTGTGCAAACGGCGCTTTACCGCTGCCAAGGGTTCAACGAGGCTCTGGACGATTTTGAAAAATGGTTGTATGACACGGAGGGTCGATTCCAGGCCCTTGGTACGCTGTCAATCAAACCAAGTGTCATAAAGAAACAGGGGTCTGGTCTGAAGGTAACTCTCTCCTTTTATATCAATTTATTGATTAAGGTCTCCAAGTTGAAACGCAAATATCGATCGATAATGAAAACTTTAAGACCTACTGAGTTGAGTTTTACTGGGAAATGCTTTGGTAATTTATACAAGGAATTTTGTGATGCAGTTTCCGTGATATAACACATTTTAAGTCAGCAGTTTTTTTGCTGTCTCGCTGACGAAGCTGTTTCTGTTTGTTATGTGGCCTGTCTTTTGATAAAACCGCAGTGCTCACGGTTTTTATTCTGAACAAGATGCTTCTATCTTTTACGTCTGAGGACGAAACCCCAGTCTGTCACCAGTCAACGCTTTCTGAGAAGTACTTTCTTGTGGCATTGCTTGTTGTTTGCGACATTTTGAAACATGATATTTGATATCTTGTCACTGTTGCCTATTGGCCGTCGTTTGGAATGTAAGGGTTTATGGTATTAGTAGGAACTTGAAAGAAATTATTTCTATTCGCAGGCAATAAAAGAAGACGTGGACTTCCATGCTCCTCTTTACGACGACATTCAACAGCGAGGTATTGACATGCTAATACGGACCGACACCGCCGCTGACCGGCATCAGCTACAGATGAGACTTGGTGACGTGGAAAACCGCTGGAAAGACCTGAAGGCGGGAATTGACGAGCGGCAGAAAAGTCTCGGTAGACTGGCACCGAGTGTGCTTGGTTACATCGAAGTGCGCGAACAGGTGGTCACCTTGTTAAGCGAGAGCGAAAAGAAGTTTGACGAACTGGCTTTGGGGCAGGGTGATGTGAGCGATATGGCGGCCATGACAGAGAAACAAGAACAGCTTAAGGTACAGTGTTGTACTTCTTTCAGTTACTTTAATTAGTCCTCAGTCTTTCAAGCGAACTGCTAGGTGTGGCTTAGAAGGGGTCGCTCAAGGTTTTCAGATCCGTTTTCGTACAAGGAAGAAGGAAGACAACGGAGTCCAACTGATAGTTGTGAAATGCCCTTTGGTAGAACTTGAAACTTGAGTCGAAGACATGTAATCGGCGCTAAGCGGGGAAACCATGGTTAAGTCAAGTCCTGAATGGTTTAAGCACCTAATCGGTTGAAATGAAAGAGTATGTTGGCTCTGTTTGATTACAGATTGTTGTACGAGTGTTTTTTCCAAACAAGTATGTAAGACACAATAGTTATTATTTTCAACTATTCGGTGGACAAATTGAATAGTTGCTCTCTCTCTACAGGCGTTGCGCGAGGACCTGGAGAACAACCGGCCTGTGTTACAGAACCTTTTGTCCATGTCGGAAGCTTTGATTGGCGTGTGCCATGAGCTGTCAATCAACAATGACGTTGTCATGGTGACCAGCGAAGTGGAGGAAGTGAAGAGACGATGGGAAGCTTTGACAGCTAAAGTAGTTGGCGGAGAAAAAGAGCTGAAAAATTCCAACAAGACTCTGGCCTTGGTATATATCATAGTGTAGCAATAGAGCGTTTTCACCCGCGTGACCAGCAGCCATGCAAATCTTTTGGAAAAGAAAGTGTCTACATAAGAAAATAATTCAGCTCCGACAGGATTGGTTTGGTACACCAACATGGCTGCCGTGACGTCATGTGAAAACACTCTATACTTTATGTTTATGATATTGTTCAACATGAGCGCCTCGTCAAGCCCTTTATCGCGTGCTGTTTAACCCTTTCAATCCGTTTATCTCATTTTTTTAGGTACAAGAAGTCATGCAGCCAATGCAACAAGTGATGTCTGAAGCTGAAAGTATTCTGGCAACTGAGCCTAGAGTTGGATTCAACATTGGACAGGCCAAGAAAGAACTCATCAAAGTCAACGTATGTAAACTAACAGCTAATTTGTGTGATGAATTTATAGCTGATTTGTCAATAGATAACAGATGCTCACGGGTTTGTGCGGTTGTGTTTGTCAACAGAAAATGATTGACGTGTTAGAAAAGTCGGAAATCAAGCTGTTGAGACTGTCCAAACAGGTTACTAACAACGAGTACATCATCACCATTATCAAAGACAACCGAGTCATGCAGGTAAATTATAATTAACAAGTGCCATTTTAAAATACAGTTCTTTATTTTTTTCTCAAGCATCTGATCGGGCCAGAATCCTAAATCCTCGAATTTGATTGGTTAATCATACGCACGTGACCTGTCCCGCTTTTTACGATACGACCCACGAGCCAGATTTTTTCCCTGCTGCCTAAGTTTCGCTCCTAAAAGTTAGCGGTAATCGTCAATCTATTGCCTTTTTTACACATCCCTTGACGATTAGTCAACACAAGTTTATCTCTGTTCACTTTAAAATGGCAGGGAAAGTCACTGTAAGTAAATTCAATTGAGTGTTTTGAAGTTGTGAGAGTTTGCTTAGTTGTTTGTAGCTTGGCGCTGTAAAGGCGCGTTATCCTGTGTTTCTCTCGCTGTAAAATTTGAGTCAATTTTAGGCGAGTTTACCTCTCTGATCGTTGCTGCATTCAGTGGAATTTCTGTGGAATACACTCAACGAATTTCCTCGCTTTCTGCTGTTCAATTTATGGTAGAAAAGTCTGATTTAATGTGATTTTAAAAGCAACGACTGACAGAAATTGTTTTTGTAGTAAAACTTCAAACTTCGCACGAAATTTCACACCACAAAAGCAATTTTGGGGAACTTAGCTGGTGAAGTAAATGCAACTAACATAAAGTAGTTCGAAAAAACTCTGTTCTTTAATACATCTTTCTTTGTCTACTGTCTGAGTTACTCGTTGCCAAGAGTTTTTACGAATCGTTAGTAGACGGTGCGCAGGCCGATTCAATGACAATGTGTAAACAAACCCATTTGTAATCTGTAAAACCAATTTACTGCAGGAAAAAAAATAAACATGTTATTTGCCGGCTGGGAGGTCCGTATAGTGAAAAACTGTGACGAATGCTGCCCTCGAATGCTGCCCTCGGCCTGCGGCCTCGGGCAGCATTTTCAAGACCTCTGTCACAGTTTTTCACTATACGGACCTCCCAGCCGGCAAATAACATATATGTATTTATATGCTTGGTTTTTGTTTCTTTTAATAATACGAGACAAGCAGAAAGAAAAGGAAGGGGAATGACTGACAGAGATTTTCTGCCCTCTAACTGGGAGCACATAGAGACGTGTGGCCTCCAAAGCAGGAATTTACCGTGCCTCTGTGAACAGTCTAAAACCGTTTGTTCTTGCTCGTTAGGTGCGCTTGAAAGAAAGAAAAGTCAAACTCGAGAAGTACATCAGAACCGTGGAAGTCTTCCAGGGAGCTGGTAACGAGATTGAGATGAAGGTGATGGGCATCATGAGTTTTGTGTCAGTGGAGATCATTGTAACAGACCTGGAGAACATCCGGGACCAGCTGCAACACGTGCAGGTATGCTGAGAGTATCCACACTAAAAGCTAGGGACAGACGGACCATTATTTTTTGACAGCACAGCAAAAACGGCTGGAAAAAAATCGTGCAGGGGGAGTCATGGGGAGAAAATCGAGGAATTGCTTTCTACTATCTAGGTCCTGTGGTCGACTTTTAAAACATTCTTGCACAAACTATTGCCCACCCAGAAGAATCATGCACAACCTAAAGGTGAGAAAAACCTTTCGTGCCCCTGAAAATTGCTCACCCCCCCCCCCCGCCCCCCTTTCACCCTCAAAAAATGAATGGTCCGTCCCTAAATACCGATTTACTGTTTTGCGCTTAATCTTGTTTGCTTTTAACCCAGAATTATTGGAGTAACGAAATTTTAGACATCGATGTTTCATTGCACAGTGGACTCGAACTTCGTTTGTCTATAAAACCAACTGTGCGCAAAGAGGAAAAAGTGTAGACCCTTTTCATAAATGGCTGCCGATTTAAAATTCTTTTGTATGTATTTAAATAAGCCTTACTAACCTCGTTTCAGAGTTAAAATTCTTTTGAATTACCAACTTCAAAATGAGGTTAGTAAGGCTAATTTTAATGCTTGCAAAAGAATTTACAATTGGCCGCCATTTATGAGAGTGGTCTATGAAACATTTGTTCAGTTTCCAGATTGATTACATTTCCCGTTGATTCAAGCTTGTTTCGTAAATGCTATACCATCGGATATACTTTACCTTTTCTTTGACTGTACGTAGTTTTGTGCCTTTTATGCGGAAGTTTTGTTGCGATTCAATTCCATATGTTTGTTTTTTGTACAGACTAAATTGCAAAGAGAAAAGAGAAACAAACCCTAGTTATTCCACTACTGTAGATGTAGCCGATTCTTTGAAGAAATAATTAAAGTCGTTGTTGTATTTGCTAGAATCTCGAGGAGGAGGTTGTAATTCACAGACGAAAAATCGACACCATGGAAGAAACTGGCGAGTGGATCATCAAAGAAAACGGTGGTAATCCCGAAGTCATCAGCGAAGTTCACTCGAAAATCAACCGAGCCAAGTCGACGATCAACGAAGTAACGGTCAAACTGAACGACCGGCGCCGAAGATTAGAAACAGCTCTAACCGAAAAACAACGAGTGTTTGACACATTAGATGATTTCGACAAAAGGGTGGTGAAGCTGGACAAATCTCTGACTCGAGCCAAACCGGTTTCGGCCGAGTTTATTGTCATCAAAGAGCAGAGGGCTTCCCACGAGGTGAGGCATTGTTTGTTGTGTGTGCGGTGTGTCTTTACGTGTATTTTTGTTTCACTTTCATGGGAAGACGATGGTGAAAGGTTTTCCAGTTAAGGCTGTTCGCAGCTGTCGGAGCAACAATGGCCAAACTGAGAAAACTGAACTTAATTTGTAGAGACGTAGTACAGGGGAATTGTAAATTTATTATTCTCATCTACACCAGTTACCATCGTTTTCCGAAATACGAGGATTTAAATAAGAAATACGCAACGGAAGCTGCGGGATGTAAAAAGAAATCTTGTGCAAGAAAAAACAGTAATAAGAATTATTTACTTTGGTTATTTTCAGTAAATTTCATGAAAATAACGTGCATTAGTGTGTAATTATATTTTACAAGATTTTGTTTTCGTGTGCTCAGAAACTGAAGTTAAATGAAAGTTGCCTGTTTAGCCAGGGCGAGGGTTGTGATTTTTCTTTTAGAGTACAGTATAATCACCAGCCATACCTTACCTTACTTTTTCAGATTGTTGTTCGAGAGGTTGGTCGTCTTCGTCCGATTTCAGATTACGTCTTCCCGGCGGCCGAAAGTCTTCTGGCAAACACCGAGGCAACAACGGAGAAAAGCCAATTCGAGAACCGTGTGTTAGCCACACGTACCCTCTGGGAGGGTGTTCGACTCAGAAGTGACAACAGACATGTGGTTATTGAACGAGTGTTCCCATTGGCCCAGAACTACGATGATGCGTACCGAGTGTTGAACGTGTGGCTTAGAGAAACAGAACAGAAAGTCATTAACCTCGCTCCAGTCCCCTGCACCTCCGAGAGCTTGAGTAACCAATACAGACATCTAGCGGTGAGTAATATTGACTAAAATAATGTGATACCTAGTAGGACGCGGTGAAAATGAGAAATTTTAAACCGTTTGTTGTTAATATTTTTAAATGGTTTTTTAATGGTTCATTTCACTCCATATCGCACACTACATTTGTTTACTTCTCCACTAAATCGTATAGTGTGTCAAAGTAGTTCTAAAAGAATCGTTGTTTTTGGCTGGCGTTTTGACAACCTGAACGAAGTCATCTTCAGAGTCAAGTGCTCTTTACTTTGAAGAAGACTTCAGGTTGTCGAAAAATCACCAACAACAGTTCTTTTCAGACCTACCCTCACCCAGACGATCACACTGATACTCCTGAGTTCAAACCATTTACTTTGTCATCCACATATGTTTGCCCGATAGCTTGGCTTCCCGTAGGATCAACGAACGTCTTTCATTTAATAAATTGATTGATTGATTGATTTTTGTATTCCAATTTAATGACAACAAATTAACAAAAACAGAGATGTCATAAGGATGGTCTGTGAAAGAGCCATATGTCCCATGCTCAGACAGACCACTACATAATAAATATTTGAAAAAATATGAAAATAAATATATTCTATAAGCCAACCAGATCAGTTGGTATTTATTATTCATGTATTCTCTATTGCTGTGTTTCAAGTGAAACTCTCTACGCAGATATTGATTCAGCTATTGACTAACCAATGGATGTTTCTATTTTGTTTAGACTCTCCAAGAAGATGTAGTCAACCACACTCCTGTATTTGAGTTCTTCGTGGCAGCCGCAACAGCCCTCAGTAACGCGTGTGACAGTGCAAACATCACAGAAGGCCTGGATCCCATCAAAATGCTTAGTCAGGAAGTCGCGAATCGCTGGCAAGTCATGACAACTGTTGTAGAGCAGAAGAAAAATGTGATTGACAGTGTTCAACAGCAGCTCAAACAGTATGAAGACGCTTTGGAAAAGATCGAGCACTTGTTGAATCGCACCGAAGCTACCTTGGTTTCCCAGAGTGCAACAGGGGCAGACGTGAATAAAGCGAAAGTCAACAGAGACACACTGAAGGTGAGTGGGGGTGCACTTTGCCTGGTGTGCGGAGGGTGGCAGGGGCTTCTATGTGTAGGTTGTTTTTTCTATATATTAGCGCAATTAAGGATACTCAGGACGAAATCACTGTTGAGTCAACGGATCATCAAGCAGGTGAACAAAATGTACAAAACAAAGCTGTGTTCTTTTCCGGTTAATTGTAACAATTACAATTTTCTCAAATGTGATTGGTGCATAAACTGCTGTATTTTGCTCTAATTAATCTGCAAAGTTGTAATCGGACAGTGTAATCGGACAGT